TTTTGAAGTACATTTGCTGAGCACTGCATTTGGGAAGTATTTGAGAGACTGGCAGCGACACAGCTCTCCCACTACAGAGTTTGTACAGTTGAGAAATTCACAAATTATGCAAATCCAACGAATTAAAAAATCTGTGCATAAGAGACATACAGTCATGAACAAAACAGTGCCTGAATTTCAACATATACAAGGAGAGAGAATAGGTTACTCACTCGGTTTAACAGTTACCAGCACATGACTAATCTGGCATCTTCCTCTCCCTTCCACTATCTTAACCATTTCGCCCATAAACACTTCAGTATGTATCTTTTTTGTTTTTTAGATAATCACAGTGCCATTCTCACGCCTAAAAACACTGATTCTTTAGCGTTTGTTTCATCCGTGTTTCCATGCTGTCCCAGTGCTGCGATGTCTGAGCTGGCAGCCTTGGTCCTGGTGCTGGTGGAGAGCAGGGACTGTTGGGTCCTTCCTCCCTTCAAATGTGATTCCTAGAACCTTTTATCACCCATAGGGGTTTGTTTAGGGTGTTTGTTGGCATGATTTGCTTATGGTGGTTTTGGGATTAGATTATTAACACTCTAGCATTTGCTTATTGCTGCTAAACGCCCATCAGTGTGAGTAGCATCAGAGTTTGGAAAATATTTGTGACTAATTATGTATAAAAGAGTTTTTTTTTCTTAAAGCAATTTCAGGTGAAACACCTGTAAGCTGAACAACTGGAGTCCTAATTTATTTCATCATTAATTCATTGTTAAGTTTTTCTTTTTTTCACTTTTTTCTGTGAACTTTTTATGTTATAGCAATAGTGGTTGATTATTTTGAGAAGACTATATGTGAAGTAAATTATGGAAAGGGGGTTTTTTGAGTTTTGGTATATTCTGTGAAAATGGCTTTTTTGCAGGATAGTTTATAATTTTCTCTGTCTCTAAAAAAATAGTAAGTAGCCTGGGTAGAGTTGAGCAGTGTATGTCTTTATCTTAAAAAAGGAATTGAAACAGGATATATTCTGTTGAGAGAAATTTATTCTTGGCCTTAGGCTTTTGAGGGCTCTCAG